GCAATGATGCCGCAACTCGGACGGGAAACACCGTCTATCGTGCGTTGCCGATATTACAAAGTAAAAACAGTGATAAAACTGTTCTTCCTATGTTGCGCGATTATCACTCCACACTTCTCATTTCGCTTGCTTCCACGGTCGCGGACGGTGAGTGCTGTTTTTTGTGTTCTGGTATTCACCATACTCTCTTCGCTTCTGTAGACAAGAGTGAAGATTCTCAGTCTTCACAAGCCCTTCTTCACTATGTACTTCGCTTCCACTTCCATATGTGGCTTGAGACTGCGCTTGTTCAACTCATTGCTTCTCATCTCACAATCAGCAACGTCAGAAATGTTGGCGCGACCCTTGAGTTGTCCCATATAGAGCACGTGTGGTGCAGACCCGCCGCAAGACCCGCGGAGTATTTGAAATATTGCGAAGGTCTCCGATGCAGAGGCACCATCGCGCCCACAAAGCCACGAACGTAACCACCGCATGGAAGGTCCGTATTGCATTGTAAAAAGTAGGGACGCTGACGGGACACTCCTGTTAGTTGGCGGAGGCACTGGAACATGGAAGGATAGATCTCTGTGCGGTGCAGGAGACAAGATGTCCAGTTGTAAATCGAGAGGTATTGGTCGCGGCTTCAAACCATTTCTCTGTCGCGAGCCGAAGACTGGCAACGCTGTGGCCATGACCGTCTATTGACATTCACGGGACACGATAGCTTGCATAGAGCATTCAACGACTGTTTGATGAAGATTGCTCTAGCCGTCAAACAACGGCTGCACCATTCTTTTTTCTGCGTATGCCACCACAAATGGATGATCAGAGGTCGAGTTTAATGCCGTCTCTGGCTGGAGGAGATAGCTGCGATACCGGCGCTGTCATTGTCACTGGCGGCCTTACTAGCACGTAGGCACGGCGAAAGACGGTTACATTGTCATGGTGGTTTCGTGGAACACGTAAAGTCAGAACACGTAGTTTCAACGACGAATGCATCATGGAATACGCAGAAGCCCCCATGAACACGATTCCGTAAGGGCGATCCCATCTGGTCACCATCTACAGCGATGTGCCAGAAACCGAATTATTTTTCCCTCGTCAGGCATCGCAATCAGGGGTTTATCACAGACGGGAAGGCCGTGTCATTTGAACAGTCGCCACGCAGCATCGCGGCTGGTTTGTACATTCAGCATTACCACGCCGCTCCGATGTGTTTCCGAGAGAATTGAATAGTGGCATTTGGAGGAGAAGGAGCACCTGTGACCCCTCGTATTCGGCTACCAACCTTCACAGCTGTTGACGAAATCTGGAAAAATGCTGCCAAGCAAAAGTTCACTCCGCTCTTTCTGAAGTAGGAGTTGACAAACAGGCATTTTGTGGGCAATGTCATAAATGGGCGAGGGCGCAGAAACAGCGGGCGTCCATAGCGTTGCTTCTCGGGGGGGGGGGTGGCGGAACCTGTTCACAACTAACGAAGAGACCAGGAAGCCGATAGCGCGGCAAGAAGGCTGTATCTGCTGGGAAAGCCGGTAACTTCGAAGACGTCGGCAAGAAGCTGAAGGGGTGCGATGACGAACCTCACATCTACCAAGTTGCCAAAGTGTGTCACCGCCAGACCGAGGATCTAGGGAAGTCTTTGGCATCAACTATTGGGTTGGCTCATAAATAATGGCATTTTCTTTCACGGAAACTCGCGCTGAAGTTGAAAAGTTCTGCCGATGGGTTTTATACTGCTTTGCATAAAATTTTTTGTTCTGAACGGTTGTCCTCCAAGTTTTCTTGAAGCTTGTGTGTCCACTGATATTCGAATTCGCAAAACTGGAGTATCAGGGTCGACGAAACTGAGCATTTTCGACAGCCTCTCTTTTTTTATTTATAACTGAAAAAGCTAGAGCAGCACATGCCTAGTTGTCAAGCATGTGGTCAAAGGGATGTGTCTCTCAAAATCCATACAACGGTTTATTCGATGGTTTCAATGTCAACCTCACAACACCAGACAAGCATCGAACCTAATGCCATACTGATTGCACCTAAGAGCTTGCTGAATCACCTTATCCATGGAGATTCATACCAAAATGGGGCATCGTTAGAAGTCATGGAGTGCCTCCTTATCATAGTGAAGCATCACCTCAATTGATGCTATACGTTCGAAAATTAGTGTGTAGCTCTGCAGTCGCTCCCTAGCAAGGCCCCAACGCAGTGCACATTTACAATGTTTGATGTGTGCATTGATGTCTTCTATGTTTTGGTCGCTTGAACGAGATTCAAGCTGTCAGGAGAAGCCTTTCCTTGGTCATATATATGCAATTTTTGAACTTCTTTTGCAATTTGAGAGCTGAGATGGAGTGCAAAAAGCTGTCAAAACTCACCTCCGAGTCGACACTCCATTTCGAAGAAATAAAAATCGACAGAAATTAAGAAGAGTTGGGGATGCAATAACACTTCTCTTATAGAACAAAAAAATATTTATCGAACGGCTTAGAACATGTTTCAAAGTGTCTCCACTTTTCATATAAAACATTATAAAAAAAAAAACGCCATTACTTATGTTCCAACCGATACAAGAAGGACCGCCGAACCAGGACCACCGAAGAAAGATGAAAGAAGTTGTGGAATAGATAGCGCGACTATTTTGAGAAAGTCTTTACAGTAAAATATACACATCCTGCCATGCCTCGAGCCTCATCAATATATGATCCCGCTTAGAGAATAGGATAAAGGTAGCAGAGGTGGCTCTCAAGAAGAGGAAGCCAGGCAAGGCAACAAAGGCCCTGATGACGTTGCGGCCGACATATAGTAGTCACACTGCTGGTGCTCTGCAGAACAGCACAACCGCTCCTATTTGGAAGAAGAAGGGCAGCTCTGTGGAATGCTCAAACTACCGTCCATTTCGCCTGCTTTCCAAGATCTCTGCAACCAGTGTGGCTTCGTGACCGGCTGTGGCACCATCGATGCCGTGCACACCGCTCGCCTCTTGCAGGAGAAACTTCGTGAGAAGCATGTTCACCTGGCATTCGTTGACTTGAATAAGGTATTCTATCATGTCCCGCACAAAGTCAATATGGTATGCCTTACGACAGGATGGCGTTCTCGAAGAACTGATTGAGTGGGTGCACATACTGTATTCCAGCCCAGCGAGTCACGTACGAACATCGAAGCTTTTTGATGGAATTCCACCACCGCGGTGGTGCACGAAGGCTCTGTGGTCTCCCCGTCTTTCTTGGTTGTCGTCATGGATTCCATTCAACGAAACCTTCGGAAACCGAGCTGTCGTTGGAGGCTTTGTACGCTGACGACGTGATGCTCACCTCGCGTGGAGAAGCCGACGATGAGAATGCGTCATCGAGCAAAAAACGCGGGGTGCAAGGTTTCGCCGTCTGAATGTCCTTGGCGAAATTGCGGAGTTTAAGAAGTAAAGAAGTACTCGACAAGCGACTCAACTGGGGGGGGGGGGGGGGGGGGGGGGGGGGGGGGGGGGGGGGGGGGGGGGGGGGGGGGGGGGGGGGGGGGGGGGGGGGGGGGGGGGGGGGGGGGGGGGGGGGGGGGGGGGGGGGGGGGGGGGGGGGGGGGGGGGGGGGGGGGGGGGGGGGGGGGGGGGGGGGGGGGGGGGGGGGGGGGGGGGGGGGGGGGGGGGGGGGGGGGGGGGGGGGGGGGGGGGGGGGGGGGGGGGGGGGGGGGGGGGAACGCAGTATCTTGGATAATATCTCAAAGGAACGCAGTATCTCGGATGATATAAACAATAATCACGTCTGATGGCAGTCTGAACTCGGGAGTGAGTTTGCTGTGAGTGCAGCCTGGTCAATGGTGCTCTGTGACCGGTGTCCTCCACAATAAAAGCGCCTCAAATTCCATGAGAATCGTCATTCGACGTGATCGCCGATATGCGGCGCTTAGCCTAGACACGTTGCATGGACTTCAAGGTAACTGGCACCTACGCCGACCAGGCATTCGGGAGAGGTGGCGTGACAAAATAAGAAGAGCGAAGGCCACCAGAGAGTGGAGCAAATGCTGAAGAAGAAGAAGAAGAAGAAGAAGAAGAAGAAGAAGAAGAAGAAGAAGAAGAAGAAGAAGAAGAAGAAGAAGAAGAAGAAGAAGAAGAAGAAGAAGAAGAAGAAGAAGAAGAAGAAGAAGAAGAAGAAGAAGAAGAAGAAGAAGAAGAAGAAGAAGAAGAAGAAGAAGAAGAAGAAGAAGAAGAAGAAGAAGAAGAAGAAGAAGAAGGCGCTTTTGGAGCGTGCGAAAGAAAACACACACGAATGATAGCAGACTCCAGCGCAACTGTAAATCCTGTGTCAAAAGAAATGAGCAGGATAGACACACGTTTAGATTCCTCCCGAACCACTAATCGCATGTGGCGGTTTAGGTTCAGATGCACCAACTGCGATACCCTGTCTTGTTCAGGTACTCAACGCTCCTTGATTCCAAGTAGGCGAGAGTTTTTTCCAATCCTTCGATTCCATGTGCTGGCACACAATCCTGTAGCAGTACGAAGCTTTTAAGGAGTAGGACCATACAATGTCTCTCAAGTAGCGCTGAACCATATGCATTCACTGTCCGGGGGTCACGAGAAAATATCGGTTTTCCCATTCCAGGATTTCCTGCCATCAACCCATGCATTGGCGACTGCAGTGTAGATGATATCCTGGACCATAGCGACGTTGTCGGAGCTGTCCATGTTGAAGGTCTTCTACATCAAGAGTGCTGGTGCCCAGGTAGCTGCCCATGGGTGACCCACACAAGAACCCCAGCTGTTTGGTGGTGAAGTGAATCCCATAGGCCTCCAGCAGTCTGGCTGCTATTAGAGATGCCTTCATATTTTGGTGTACATGAATATGATGGACAAAAGCCTGCTCATGCTTATCGACGAACAACTTGGGTATCTTCCACCCTGGTACTCGTATCCACGTCTTCTATCTGAGCTGCGTAAACTTTACTGATATGTGACTCGGCCAAAGTGTCTTTTTCTGGCTCCCACTCCCCCCCTCCCCCGTAACTACACACCTGTGGGAGAATACACCAAGTCAGTGGTTGACCTAGTAGAGTAAGATGCGTGCACTCAGTATACCGACCGCATTCGTGGTATATTTTGTAAAATCAAGGATGATATCAATAGAAATAAAGTCAGTGGTCTGCAGCTGCTTTCTTTGAGCGTTTGCTTTTTTTAGTAAATTCCGCTACTCTAATTGAGAAATACGCTGGCATGAAGAAAGACGAGTTCGAAAATACCACGCTTTCTGGGAAGTGTATTTTTCAACTCGCTGATGTGAATGCAGAATGTGCGAAAATCACAGTCGCAGCAGAATACGTATTGTATTCAATTTCTGCATATCCTGAAGCAGGTACGTAAAAAGTTTGTACATGAAAACGACTTTACTTCGGGCAAATTTGATCTCTTGGAAGACGTTATTTGTTCCATTTACTGTTTTTAGTCAGCAGTGCGCTGCAACAGGCGCATGATAATATTGTGAGCTGCTGTGAGCAGTATGGGTAGTGGGACTTTGACTTTGAATCAAGAAATGCAACACGACAAAAAAAAAACTTAGCCAAATAGAAATGTGCACCTTGAGGAATGCAGACACGCGAATTAGTCGAGTGGTTGATATTATCACTTCAGAAGGTAATAAGGAAATTGAATGTGGTCCCCTGCAGTAGTTTGGTCTTGAGGAACTCCGAAATTCACACTGGGAGGATCCTTGCAATATCCTGCCATATATAATTGGCTATGTATGTCTGTCTTTCTGTGTGTGTGTGTGTGTTTGTCACGAAATTCATAGCGACCGTCCCAGTAGCTGTGGGAAGTTGATTCCAAGGAGTGATATAGGGGCTGTGAGGGAAACATTATTGGTGGGTGGCAAGAAGTGATATCAGTTGATGAGATCTGATAGGAGGCGTCAGAAGAGGAAGGTCGCCAAGTCCATAGCGCGGGTCACAGCAACAGTGGGGCGTTAGTTCCAGGATATGATTTGAGGCATGGGACAAGAACATTTGGTGGGTATCAGGGAGTGATATCAGCTGATAAGATCTGATAAGAGGCGTCAGAAGGTTAGGGCCACCGAGTCCATAGTGCGGGACACAGCAACAGTGGGACGTTGGTTCCAAGGTATGATATAGGCTATGGCACAGGAATATCATTGGTGGGTGACAAGAACTGCTAGCAGCTGATAAGATTTGATAAGGGGAATTAGAATGGAAATAGTGATAGCAGCTGATAGGGGCTGATAAGATAAAACGTTGCCGTTGCGGTTCAGTCAAAGTGCTGAAGCCTCTACCCTATCAAATTACAAAGTGCTGAAGCCTCTACCCCATCAAATTATAGTTTTAATGATAGGGACATTGATGACGGGTGATGGGCAATCTTATCAATTGACAAGAAAAGATAAGGCACCATTCTCACTACATCTCTTACCACTATACTGCCAAGTATTGAAGGCTCAGTGTGCAAACTTTTCCTTTAGCCATCACTTCTCTGATAGCACTAGAAAATGAACTCATCCCACTATCCTACTATATAGTCGACCGAAAGGGGGGTATGTAGTTTGCCTGAAACAGGAAACTCAGGAAAATCGATGAGCACCGGGAACCTGAATAATGTACCACTTTATGCGTTCAATAGCTTTTTTTATTTTCGACTTTTCAATTGTTGTAGGCCATCTATATATTGTATGGCGCTCATGGCGCGGACCACACAGCTGCAAATATAAGCATGTGCTAAGGAGTGCAGGATCCGCAGGGTTGCTCTGTCTGTTACGACTCAATCACTGAGCAGCCCAGTGATTGAAAAAATTCCGTTCCCATTATGGAGCGCGCCTGGCGAAGCCAGGCCAGCTCGGCGAAGCCGAGCTAAAGAGAAGGAGGAGAGCTCGGCGTCAGCCGGGCGATCCTGACTGGTAATAGCAAAATCCTCTAATCACCTGAAGCAGATGCTTATCTGCGACTAACTTATTTCGTCAAAGGCCCATCATGGCACAAGTAAGCTACATCTGTCGGCTATAGTGCCTTTTCATCACGTATAAGGACATTGGAGCTAAACAAAACTGATGAGTAGCTCGGACATGGCTGGGAACACTTCACCGAAGGAAACAACCAATTAACTGAGCAACAAAGAAGTCTATCGAGAGGAATCCAGAACCGTGCCACAATATGTTTCACTTTTTATCTTTCTCAGTAGCTGGACAAAGAGAGGGTTTCTGGATTCGGAAAACGCCTGCAATCACGGACATAAAATTTCGAGTCTCTCGTAAAGCAAATATCAAGCTCCGTCGAGTCACTTACAAGGTTGAAGATCTTACATCCTTCAGGGGAGAGGGCTTCAACAACGACTCCACATTAGTTCACAGGGCTGAATGGAGACGTTGCCAGTAATCTTCTGACGACTTTATTCTCTGATAGCTGTTGCCTATGCCAATCTCCTGATAGCGAAGACGCGAAAGAACTCCGAAAAAAAATGTAATGTACAAAAACGGCAGGAAGTGTTGATAGAGTTGCTACCATCTGAGAGTGAAGAGTTGCTACCATCTGAGAGTGAACACAAGGCTTTAGCTCCCAGCAGTGTGTAGAAGAGATTGTCCATGGCGAGGGGGGGGGGGAACAGAAAGAGTGCAGGACTGTCGACACCTGAAGCGAAGGGTCCTCAGTGTACGACCAGACCAGTCTGTAAGCGCTCCAATAGAAGTGGCAATAGTGAAATATAGAGAGTTCAGTGGTTATGTGCAGAACGCTCGAACGCATTGTATAGCGAGCAATGCAAGACCGGCGACCTTCCACAACAGTAAGTGCTGGATCATATGCGAAAACCACGGAAGACAGCTTTTTTTTCTCTTCTCGGAAGGTGGAAGCCGAAATCTGGACTATGACTGTGGCAGATAAGAGGTATGGGCAAAACGAGGGACATAGGTAATGATAGGATAACTTCTCTTAAGCTGATTTGCCTCTGAAACAGCCATTGCGATACTGTAAGATCTAGAAGGGCTTGCCTTACAAGAAAAGCTGTTCGCTTTCCGTGCCGATCAGAGTGGCCTGACTGGTAGGATATCCAAGCGCAGAGCGATGTTGCGCACAATGTAGACAGCATACCGCTCACACAATACTCTGCAAGCCCTTTTGAATGAATACACAGACAGGCAATCTCTAGACACTTGATCCTAATCCTCTAACCAAATTTCTGAAATTCTCCTTGGCACACCAGTCGTTGTTTGGCACAGAAAATCCGGTGCAGCAAGAGCAGTGTGAATGTGTCATTGTGATAGGCGGAATATCGTCTTAAACTATCGATGATCTGGAAATTTGGAGTTCTGATTTCACACCTGCGGACTCGCACCTCTTCCTATGGACTGACATTGTGACGTTCCTCATAGATTTCCAGCAACATTCGATTGGCTATCCGATATAGCAGCCGGCAAAGGAGAAAGTGATGGGTATTGCCGCATGCCAACAGGCAGCAGATAACTAGCCTTACAACTCCGGATTTACCAACCAATGTTTCGAGAAGCCAGTTTGGTAGAGAGAGACATCCCACACTGATGGTTGAACTCCAAAACAGTTCTGTCTTTTGTCGGATTGTTGCTGGGTTTCACAAAGAACTTCCCAACAATCCCTTTTCCAGGCATCGGTTCGAATAGGTTAACAGCACTTATCTCCATCTCTCTACCCATCGCGTTCTGGCTCGGATCACTTGGCCATCGACGAAAATAACATAGTCAGCTGACTGGGGTCGGCACCAAGAGGTCCAATGGAATATGACCACTCCAGCGGATGCGAGATGCGGCAAAAAAGATGGCATGTCGCTGGACTCTGATCTTGTCACGAATCCCAAGATGCTGAAGCTAATATACTACAGGCTGCTGCTGACAACTTAGTTCCCCCTGCAGCCTGGATCTCTCACCAACAGTCTATCACACATTGCAGTCGCTAGCATACATTCCCAGAAAGAAATCTAATATAGCTGGTTTGATTTTGTGGTTTCACAAGATTTCATAGGTACCTCCTTGATAGCTCGACACGTTGATGGGAAGTAGTGAAAGAGCGAAAGCCCCTTCCCAACCCCGTCACTATACTGCGTCGACTTTACTGGCATACTTCGTTGATTAAGTATTAAGTATTCAATAGTAGGAATAGAAAAAACGATTATTAAAAACGGCTAAGGGCTTACGGACTTGTGGACTATGGACCCTATTTGGCGCTTCAGCATTAATCCTATTCATCTCTTTTTCAATGTATATTCAGTGATGGCACGTGAGCGCCACGTAGTCGTTCCACTGAAGTCGGGATTCATAACAGGTATTGTTGCCACAGAATCTTTTTCGCATCCGCACTATCAATATATTGTGCAGAGTTCCTGGAACCACTGAACACTTACACACGACAGATAGCCAGTAATCGGACTTTATTATCTATCACCGGTTGGGTTTATAACTATGACTACGGCGGCGAGTATTTGAAACTGCAGCCCAATGCGTAAGTTTTCCAGAACTAGGAAGTGCAACACTGCTAATCAGGCTGCCACCTTGTACTCAAGCAGAGCAGTTTTTACTTGAGAGAATCAAATAGCGACCAGAAGGAGCTTTCAAGCACTCACTTTGAAACGTTCAAATACATCCTCGCGTAAGCGAATTCTGGCTAGGCCCCTGCTTCGAATAGTTCAAGAGAGGTGATTTTCCAATGGGGATATATCCGATGGAACTGGAATTTTCCTAAGGAACCCATGTTACTGCTATTTTACAACTGGCTTGCGCTCTTATGTGGCACTGAACTCTTCCGCTTGAAGAGCGGGACCGTCGGACCGTCGTTAATGACGATCCGGAGCTAACGTTAGGCCCAGGGTAAATGTTCCTCCTAGCAACCTCATAAGGTACTATTGCTGCTTGTGCAACTGCACACGAGCTTGCTAAAACGCTATTTTGGCTGGCTAACTTTTTGCTAAGCTCACCTTCCTGAGCCGAGCCTGAAAGCATTGAAGCCGATTTATGAGCTATTTGACCAAATGTCTTACATCCACAGAGACCTTCGAGCCCCTTATATCCAGCGCCTAAATATCCTCGTAGAAACTCGTGAGGCCAAAGCAAGTGGAACACTTTGTCTACATTTCTTTACCCATTTGATCTCCTCAATGAATCTGTGATTTTATGGTATCTCGTGAAATTTTAGGGCAAACACACCTACTCACCTTTTCCGAATTTTGATCTCATGTAAAAACAATAATTGGTCAGCGAAAGGATCGCACTGTGCAAATTCGAAGGACACTGAGGCTTTATCCTTCATTTTACCCCATGTGGATTCGGACCCTAATTGCATGGTTAGTTGTTTTTCACAACATCCTACTATATATAATCCGCTGAGTGTGTCTGTGTGTGTCACGAAATTCATAGCCACCTTCCTACTAGCTGTGGAAAGTTAATTGCAAATAATGATATGGTGGCTCTGATGGCAACATTATTGGTGAGTGACAGGGAATGACACTCTCTTGATTGAATCTGTGAATAATGCTGACCGCATGCTCATCCTGCTTCCGTAGAGTGCGGAGCTCCGGATTCCCTCTCTCACTTGCGTGTAGCGGGAAACTCCGAGCATCGCCCTTTCGATGGCGCGTTGAATAACACCGACCGCATGCTCATCCTGCTTTCGTAGAGTCCAAGTCTCTGAGGCGTACGTCAAGGCAGGAAGGACCGCGGAAGAGGTGGGCACGGAGCTTGGTGTTCTTCGTCTTCTTCGCTACTCCCTCGATGTTCTTGAAGGCTCCCCAAGCCGCTCGCTTCCTCTCAGCTCTGGAGCTAGGTCATTCATCATATTGATTTCACGACCTAGGTACACATAGCTAGAGCATTCAGAGATGGTCGTTCCGTTGAGCGTGAATGGGCAT